GCTCAGGGAACTTAAAAGGGCTGGGGCTGTCTCTGTCTCTCTGTGTGCCACCTGCTTAGCATCCCCGCGCTGCAAGCTGCTATAGAGAGACATCTCCGGCAGAGGAGAAAGGCCCATTGTGTCCAGACGCCTTTGAGGGCATTGTTCTGCTTCACTGAGGCCAGGCCGACATCTGCACCATTCACACTGAAGGAAGTTGTAATCACTCCCCTGCTCTTAGCTCTGTGGCTCCAACTTCATACCAAGAAGGCTTGTGAAGTTGGGCCTGTGGTAAACAACAAGGCGAGAGGAGGGGGAGTGGGTGTATAGGATTTGGAAGGGTGGCTGTTTTTGTTGAGAGGCATCAGTTTAAATAGAAACTCTTACATACCCCCATACAGGCCCCCTGATCCCTTCCCTCCCTTCCAACCCCCAACTTACCCAAGTGCACTCACTCTCCACAATACAAAGCTGGCAACTGATTTACAGAGTTACCACTCCATCAAAAGCACTGATTAACTGCTTGTCTTTCACAAGTAGGGCAAAAGATTTTAAATGTGTCCATGTAAAGTATAAAAATGTCTGGCTGCTGCGTTTTCAAAATGCTCTTTTGCTCCCCTTTCATTAGTAAAAAAGAAAAGGGAAAAAAAGAGGCACTGAATGCCAGGATTGTTTCAGTGGTCAAGTTGAGAAAGGGTTTTGTGTAGTTTTCATTTACATATAATTACACTTTAATGGAAGTCTGACTAGTGTGGGGTAAGAGGCTGGCCATGCGGGCTGCTGAGGAGACCCCCTATGATACAGGATGACAGGCTGTAGTGCAAACTCCATCTCCGGCTAATTAAACGAATCAATTAAGAGACTATTGTTGTAACTGTGTAACTGATGTTCTGTAGTGGCAAAAATGGTCCCTTGGGGAGGTCTTCCAACCATATTAAAAACCCTATCCTCTACATCTCCATCTGATACCAATATAGACACTTATTTGCGCCTTGCTGTCATGTCATTGGAGGCGGGCACATTATGGAAATTGAAACGGAGGGGTTGAGGGGAGCAGGACTAAGCTCAGTGTGAAGCGGCGAGGTTCACTTCCCATCACCCTCCAAGGAGAACTCGCTTCAGCAAACTCCAAAGTCCCTCAAAGTTCCCTAATAGCAGAGCTAGAGCAAGCACACCCAGCTGTGTGCATCCAGTCACTAGGTAAGGGTCGCGCAATTAGCATACTCCTCCCTGCCAGGCAAGTCGCATTGATGCAGATAAATTATCATATTAGATTTACCCTCCTCAGTTCAACTGATTGGCTCCCAAATTGTTTTAGATGGCCGTCATTAATCCTTAGCATAGGCTAAGTGCTTTGGCTTCAGATCTGATTGCGTAGAGGCGCCTAGGGTCAAATTAACAGAATACTAATGCCTGAACTCTATCTCATTTGCAGTGTCAGGATGCTGCTTCTATTATAGGAAACAGAAAAGAGTCAATTGCCATTCATCTAATGTAGGATTTAGAAACTCTCAAGATGATAATTGAGGTCCAAGGTACGAGCTGAGACGATGTTATCAAGTGAGCTCTTTCTCAGTAATTGATGTACAGTTTATATATATATATATATATATATATATATATATACATACTGTATGTGTGTGTATGTGTGTGTGAGAGAGAGAGAGAGAGAGAGAGAGAGGCTATCATCTAAGTAATTATCAAAGAATGCCAAAGCATAGTGGAGTTGCAAAGACAGCCAGAAAAAGTGTGATGCTTCAAATGCAGGAACTAATATCAATATATTTCTATATATTCCTAATAAGAAGTGATCACCAGAGTTACATGTTTCAGAAGCAAAAAGCTGATACAAAGCAGACAGATAAATTGAATACATTACATATTTCTGCTTGGATAATAACCCCCCCCCCCCCAAGCTGCTGTGAATATGCCTGTGTGCAGGGAGACTGACAGATTTATGGACAGAGCAAATCTGAGGACTTGACGGAGGGTCCAGTGGATCCGTGTCACTCCTTTGTCTTTGTAAGCTGACCCTGTTTGTTTAAGGCCCACAGTGCTGGCACCACATGAAGTGGAATGGGGGCTGCTTTGGCGCCTCGGCCGCCCTGGCTCCCGTGGCCAAAGTCAGCATTGGCATGTCGTTGGGACCTTCTGATGGAGATCAAGGGATTATCCCCATCTCACACACCCACACAGAGGGAATTCACATTCATCATATTTACACTAATATGTACCCAATACACCCAGAAAACCTCAAACAACATGGAAAATTACTCTTAAATACTTTTTGTCATCCTACTGCACCAACTAGTCACACGGACCCCAGAGAAGAGCAATCTGAGCAGGGGCATCAGATTCCTTAAGAAGCGGGTGATGATGTCAGAGCCTGGGACCCTCTGAAACAGCACAGACACAGTATAGCTAAAATATCAGTCAGTACCCAGATCCCAGACAAAAATACAGCAGGGGGTCACTGATGGGATGGAATTCAGATCGTATAGACCAACAGAGTTGTTTTACATGTTACTTTTTATCACAGATAAAGTCAATGAAAACGTATTCATTACATTCTTATCATCATCTATCACCTTAACATCAGTTAAAATATCAAATTATGCTTTCTCCAAATGGATCTACAATGTTAATGGACAGTTGAATTACTGAAACTCTAGTGGTATCTAACCATGAAGATAGTAAAAGGTTTTATGTTGCAAGGTCTTACTGCCATCTCAATATACATGAAATAACAGTACCACATACATAGATTGCGAGAAATTTACAATGAAGCACAAAATGTCTTGTATTTTTATGTTCCTAGTGTAAAAGCAGCAAAGGTACATTTACTGAATACACTGGAGTATAAAGAAGAAAAGAGCTGGTTACGGCAGCACCAGAAGCAGCCATCACGGATGAGCACACAAAAATATTAACACAATATCTCAAGAAAAATACATGGCAGTGTTGGATCTCTATGTGGTGCAGCAAATAATTACAGTAACAAAAAAATAACGAGATAAAGTCCAGATTAAAGTGTTAACCGGTGCTGTCGGAATCACAACTTGCAGAAAAGTTTAAATTCAAAACTCTCTCTTAAGGGCATTGATTGCCAGCTCTGTTGCTGGAACTCTATTCATTGTCCTTCAGCTGGCTTCAACTGTATGTGTGAGCACATCTATGTGTGTGTTTAGGTGTGTTTCTTTCTTTTTGCCTCCCAAGTCTCTCTCCCCGCCTCCCTCATACCTGTCATCTGGCAAGGCTAACCCCTGGTAGCTCCCCGCCAAATGCACACACATACACACTCGCACACGCACGTTGTAAATCCCCGCCAAATGCCCGCCCTTCCAGCCCCCTCACACGGCAGCCGGTGTCAGCGAATCAGCTGAACCGTCTCCGCCCCGAGAATAACCCCATGACAGACAGCCCTAGTGGCCTCCCCTTGTCAACGCAGCCTGCCCGCAAAGCTGACAGCCAGGGCACAGGGCGGACAGGCTACTGTACGCAGGAGTTTACACTGGGTTGGGCCTGAAAGGGATGGGCCTTGGGGTAACGATAGAAGAGGGAATGGTGATGTCTGTAGAGACGGGATGTAGCTTAGGATGTGGATAGGGGTTATGTGAGTACAAAGGCAGGACCAGAAGAGAATATAGGGCTTATCATAATGCTAAAGCTAAGGCTAGGAGCCGGATTGAGGATGTGAATAGGATATGTGAGGCTTGGACTTGAAACTTTCTTGAAGCAGGGTTCGTTTTTCACTCTACAACATGGAATAAGCTAAAAAAAATTTAAAAAAAAGAGCTCCAATACATCAGAAAATAGGGATTATAATTGCAGAGGTCAGCTCCTGTCAAGGTTACTGCAGCATTTGGTGTATCGTACTTGGCTGGCAGAGTTGAGTGGTCAGTCCCTGCAGAGCAAAGAGCGAAAGGTTCGGTTTGGCCCGCAGCCGGAAGACTGTCATACTTCTATCCCCTCTATAACAATTCAGATAAGAGGCAGACTACTCTTACTTCTCCTCTGACAAGCCCTCATAAGGAACCCTTACACATTCAAGCAAAAAAATAAAAAATCCATGTTGCATGATGTTTTTGTTGTGTTTTGACAGATAGTTGACGTCCCATTTATATTTAATAATTTGGCTCAGCTTGAGAATCATTCCACATTGAAAAAAAAAAAGAAAGGCATAAAACATTATGATACATTTGTTTCAAAAGTGGGACGTGGGTGACGAGACATAAATGAGAACAGTGACTGCATCTTCTCAAGTCTCTCTGTCATGTGGATGATGATTCCCTTTCTAGCAGTTGGTCTATGAACCGAGCACACATGTGCACACAACACACACATACGCATAACATTATTCATTTTAAATGATGATTTCTTAATCAAGGCATGCATGTACTATGTGGTAAGAGACACTCCTCTTTTCATTCCAATTTGAAAATCTTTTACTGGGTTGCTTATCGCTTTAATATCAAACAATGAAAAAATGTGCAACCCTGCAGCGAAATAAGCAGCACATGCAGGCTCCAGTCTCTGAGGAGAATTATTTTACATAAGAACAAGAGGAGAAATTGATATTCTGTTATCCTGTTATTATTTTAGGTTAGATAACACTAACTAGTCAGTTGCTTAGAAGCAGCAGTGATGAAATCATGTTTGTGCCCTTTGATCTTTTTTATGCTAACTCTGCTAGCAGTTGCACTTTGAATTTAAGAATGAGAACAGCAAGGCTTCCTAGATCGAGACCTAAAGCTATGTTTTTCACAGGAAGGCATTAATTCTTGTTTGTTGGGAAGGGGGGGGGGTCAGATTTCTGAGAACTTGCTCTGTCTGAGCCTTCCTAATAATAGTGTTATAAGAAAAAAGGGCAGGAACTGTCAGAAGCATACATAGAGGTAAGGAAGCAGGGAAGCAGCATGAGGCTTCATAATATGGATCTTCTGATGAAGACAGCGCTTCAAATACAGTTGTAAAATCAAAGAGGAAATCAATTATCATGACTGATATGGTTTTTACTGTACCTGCAGAATGTGGATGTGCAGGTCTCCACTAAGCTGACTGCAAACCTGCGACCTAGGAAACACAAAGATGGAAAGAGTGGGGGAGAGATGGTGATTCACTGCTTACAGTATATGGAGGCTACCACTCATACAAACATGCACAGAAACACACATGCACGCACACAATCACTTACGCCCACTCTAACACCCACATACACACACACACACACACACACCAACTGTGTGGATAAAAAGGGATTGTCACATGACAGATTCCCAGCAGATTGTGCATGCAGAGATCTTAGGTCTTAGCTTCTGTGCCTTTTGACTTGAAGCGCCTACAGAAAGAGAGCACCCTCACAAACACTGGCTGCAGCCGAAATCAAAATTCAGGGTCAGGATTATTTGCTCGGTCAGTAATATCTCAATTTTCAAGGTGCAAAAAAAAAAAAAAAATCTTCTTCAGGGATGATTTAAGTAATATTTCAGGACTTTTTTCAATGGGGTTCCTTTGAAGCTTTCCTTACTAGTAAGCTTTGAAATAAATCAGAGTAGCGCTAATGAAGCCATCAATAGCTAGCTAGATAGATAGATAGATAGATAGATAGATAGATAGATAGATAGATAGATAGATAGATAGATAGATAGATAGATAGATAGATAGATAGAGTGTGCTACATCTTTGAGTCTTCCCAGTAAAGTCCTGATTCTTCCAAGGGTTCACAGTCTTGACATAAATCTCTTAATCCCTTAGCTGTTTATGTGAAATGGTGCAACAACAGGGGTGAGTCCTACTAGACTGTTTCACTGAACTCTACATTTGGCAGAAAGATGGCATTTACCTGGATTTTATCCCTGCAAACCCAAATCTGCCTGCTGTCAGCACGGGTGTAACAGCGACCCGTTACTGTAATTCTAGCATCAATCACTCCTTTGTTGAGCTTTTAATGAATGTGCCCCAGGAAGTTGCGTCCCTTAACTTATGAAGGACTGAGAGTGAGAGGAGCATAAGGTTTGGGCAAGCAAAGGCAGAGCAGAGAGCAGTGGGACTACACGGCTTAAGCCAAATACATATTTATGAGTAGCATCCACCCACAAGCCTGACTTTTCAAACCCAGCCAAGCTCAGGCAGTCATGCAGGCACACAAGCTGGGCCAGAACAGGGCAGGCTGATTGGGCCAGAATCGGCAGGGGTTTGGGTCTCCACTCAACTTTGTTTACGTACCATTGTGTCCTCTTCTTTCAGTGCTGTCCCAATTATTTGGCTGCACAGAGAAATACAGAAAATGAATATCGTAGATGTAAATGAAAGCTGAAATCCTGCAACCTTTATGTAACGGGTGTAAGGTGGGCGGACACAGAGGGACGCGGAGGATGAAAGAAGAGTCGGAGGAGGATCTCTGAGAACTTTTTCTTTCCAGAGGATTTCGAAAAGGGGTTCATCCTTTGAATAATTTCGCTGCTGAGTATCTTCCCCTTCCTGCTGATATTCCTCCTCCCTGTGATCTCGTGACCCTTTCCAATTCAAGGTCATTGTGTGAGTACTTAAGATCTGGAAGAAGGAGCGCTCAGAAGAAATGCGCTCCGATAGCAGCGGATTGGCGGAGCAGCGCAGTGGATCGGTTATCGACTGGGCCCATCCAGTACGGCTACAACCGCCACAGTTCGGTCTCCTTCACCCACTTCTTCAAGGCTGCCTTTAATCTCTCCCCGTGCCTCCCCAGTCCACGCCTTTGATGTGGTGATGCCCTTCCTTCACTTACTCAATATTTGATCTATCTCACTTCATACTGCTAAATCCAGTTGAAGTGGATTCGCATAGACAGGGCGCTCCCTCTCTTCCTTTAGTTATTCCTCGTCTTTCTTGCTTCTCTCATGTTCAACAAAATGACCACCTAACCCACTACAGAAAATCACTTTCTCCCTCGTCATGAAATACGGAGCTGACGACGGTGTTAATTGATAGAACAGTCAATTGCTTCTGCCTCAACACAAAGTACACAGACGCTCAGCTGGACATGTAAACAGGTTGAAATCCATGCTGCACGAGCTTCCTCTCTCTCTCTCTCTCTCTCTCACACACACAAACATATTGCTATGTCTTAATAAAAGTCAACCAGCTGCTGTGCTCCCACCCACCATGTTAAGCCAGAGGTGTAAGTATCAACTCTCATCTCCTCCCTGCCTGCACCCACAGACGAGCCTACGAAATAGAAACAAGATACAGAATTACTGCCTGTTTACTTCAACTGGAGACCTAACACATGTTGTGTGGGAAGATAGACTTTGTTGTCAGCATGAGAAAAAAAGAAAAAAAGAAAAAAGAAGCTCTGGCTGTATTTTCATAAACATAACAGATGTTTTGCAATATAACAGACCAAATTCTGAAAGCGTGCAGTCCCTATCATACAGTTCTCAGGCTACTGTTGACTGGCTGTGTGTATATAATTGCTGTCTCTTTATGGCGCGCGGTAGTCGGTGTCAAAGAGTGACCCTGCGGCCCATTCCCAAGCCTTCTCTTCGTCAGGATGGCGAGGAGACATCTACCATATGGCCTAGCCTTCTGCATCCTTGTCCCTGCATAATCACGAGACCAATACTGTATGCAGGGCAACAATTCAACTGAAACAAAAAAAAAAAAAAACACAATAGAACCTCCAAAAGAACACATCCTACACTGAGAGAGGCGAGGGAGCTTTCCATTGTGTTTTGATCACTGGAACAGACCTGCTCTGCGCCCATTATGATGAAGAAAAGCCTAAACTCAAACAGAAAACCGTAAAGCAAACAACAAACAAGCCCCAGATTTGTTTCAGTCATGACTCGGTTCAGTGAGGCACTCTCCCTCCTACTTAACAGCAATCAGAGATTCCTTATTACAGAGCGGAGGGTTTGTGTAACACTGAACTCAAACCCTCTACTATTCTGTGCCACATTAGTTCCACTTAGTTGGGTCCCAATGACCTATTCAATGTAAATGTACTGAGCAATAATGAGTGGCGGACTGCAGCGGTTCTTTAATGGGTGAGTACGTCCACGGAGAGTGAAATGACAAGGCAGAAACAGAGAGGGAGAGGGGTTCAAGGCCTTTCAGGATGCGGGTGTTTAAGCAGGGTAATGATGGGAAAGTAAAGGACTTTAAAAGAATAATTAGGGCTAGATAAGAAGAAGGCCAACCATGTCTCAACAGACACACCTTCAGGTTCATTAAATAAAAGCAGTGTCAATCTACCGTTAGGAGCACATGGGTGACTGGTGGTTTTCTACACTCTGATTTCAACAAAGGACAACAGAGGAAAAAAAAGAAAGAAACGCATCTCTGATACTGCAATGACAACAGGATGGCCTCAAAGGTAAAAGACCCGCAAATCGGTCGGAGTCACGCCTCAAAGCTACCCGCACTGTTTTGATTTAAAATGCCGTTTACGCAAGAAAGGACTCAAATTAATGAGTGAGGTGAACAAATGAGTGCATCAGAGACATATTAATGACTTAGGTGTTAAGAGGAGTGTGACAGTCTCTTCTTTTCTTCAGCTCAATTTGGCAAGAGAAGGTGTTGAGGGAAACAGGCTTTTGACATAGCGCCATGTCGGCAGCCAGAGAGTGTTAGAAGAACTTGACTCAATCTGTTACGCTCTGGGACCGCCTCTCTTAATACTGTTTTTGCTTAATGGCCCGAGGTGTGCGTATGTCTGCACTGTGTGTTGAAGAGAGCGTGCATCTATCTTTTTCTCATTTTGTGCGGGTGTGTGTGTGTGTGTGTGTGTGCATGCAAATGTTTGTTTTGTTTGTATTTGGTGATGAGGGTGTACCTGCAGGTCCTTAGGGTGCTGTTTGATGCTGGGTAGCACCTGCAGATGCCAAGTTCAACTCACTGGACTCCCTTGTTTTCTCCCCCCTCTCTCTCTCTCTCTTTCATGCGCCTCCCGTCTCTCTCCCCATCAGAATCCCCTTGTAGAAGCCAGGAGACAGGACTGTTACCTCTGAGACAGACACCAAGCAGATCTCAGGTTGAGCTCCCTGTTACCATGCGGCAGCCATTGGAAACAGATGGTCTCCAAACAGCCTGTCATGTTTACTGCTGCTGCCATAAAAGACAAGAGTCCAACAACACACTCCCTCAGGAGCCCCACGGGATCGCACAGGGCCCTGCAAACAGCTGCCTGGAGGTGGGAGGGGGGGCCCATTGGCCCTGCACACTCACGCATGGACACACGCACTCACACCTTGAACTGACTCCTACCTTAACTACCACCCAAATGCCTCTATTACCAAACTCTCACACACACACCTACATAGTGACACAAAAACAGCCAGGCGCGCACTCCAAATGTCCTCCGCCAACCCGTCCGGACATGCTACATTTACTGCAATTAAACAAGCATGCCATTTGAATATCTGATGACACCTTGCAACCTGCTCCATGGGCTCTGAATATAATGGTGTCCCTGTGGAGCCCGGGAGAAATTGTCCATGTCACAGTTAATGAAGGGAATTTGCATTGTTATCTCAATTAAGGGCAGTGGAATAATGAAGCTCACTTCTGAATTAGTTAATCGACAAAAACTTGTACAAATGTGTTTGCATGGCCCATAGGTATGGCCCGCAGCTAATGTATATTCTTCAGGGTTAGCGGGGTTACGTCAGACGCAGGGGGGGCAGACGGTAATGAGGCAGGTGCTACTGGACACTTCTCTTCCTCTCCTCGGGAGTCGAGATGCTACTCTGACCTCCCAACGCCTCATCCTCCGTCTCTTCCTCCCTGTCTCGCTCACACCACGTCTCCCTCACCTCTCTCGATTAGCTCTCTCCCCAGTGCCCCATTCTTTCACTCACACGCCACGTCAAATACACAAACCAGAGGCAGATAGCAGATTGGAGATACAAACCCAGGTGTTTTGCCCCCCACCGCACATCACCCTCCTTCTCCATCTCCTCATCCTCCTCCTCCTCCTCCCTCAGGACATCACCCTGACCCTATAGCTGGGCTTTTCTGGATTCAGATACCAGTAGAAGGTAAGTGATAAAAGAACGGTCAGGAAAAAGGAAATATCTATTTGCTCTGTTTGAGTA